TTTTAAATTTAAATGCAAAATTCAGAAAACATATAATAGTTGCAAATAAAAATAACATTTAAAATAAAGATTGTTTTATAAAATAAAACCAAACTAGTTAAACATCCCCGGAAAATTGGCTAATAACCTTGATATTGTTCAACTCCTCATGGGTTGAGTTGTGTTCAGTCTTCAACTCCTCTTGCTTTTTCTCTCTTCAACCTTCGCGTCAAGTTTTTGGACCACCTCGTTAAGCCTCTAGATCTCAAACTTGTACTCGGAAGGGAATGATCAAGAATCGAGTGAAAAATATCCCATTTCAACGCTTGGATGTCCACCCAATCCAACAATTCAGCCCTCGACTTTCCGAGTTTTCTACAAAAGTATGAATTTTATGAGAAATGAAGTAAAAAAAAATGAAAATACTTACCGAGAGAACAATATCGTTAACCTCTTCCCGATGTAACTCGTTCGACGACGACGAGTCAAGTGTGACTTGTGAGAGTTGCGTCAAACGATGTGTCTTCTTCTTCTTGCACGTCTCAATTGCCTCACGAATCCCCAAGTCTTGTATCCCTTGGAGTTTTTATTCTTGTGTTTCGCCTCCATCACGACCAAGTAATCATGACGAACCCCACCAGTTTTTTTTTGTCTGCATATTTTTTTAAAAATATTAAAATAATAGAAACATGTACAATTAAAAAAATAAAATAAATTGAATTACCATTTCAAGCGTTTGACGGTCAATGGACTTTGCGTCCCCATTGTGAAAATACATCCCCTTCCCTCCTCGTTCACTCTTCCTGTTCTAGGATCTTTGTCGAAGGTAGACTCCAATACTTGCAAAAGCTTTTCCACACAAGATCTTCTAGATCATTCGCTTTCTTCTTCTTATTATTGAAATCTTTCTTCTACTATGACATGTGTCGTTAGTATTGGATAACTGTATATTGGTCAAAAGATCGCAGCACTTGATTCGTTTCTTGTATGGTCTCAAGTGAACCCTTGCTAAAAAAAAAGTGTTAGAAAAGTATATATAAAAAACGAAAACCATCAAACAGTAAAAAACAAATCTTACCGCGAATGTTCGATGCCATGAATCTGTTACATCTAACGACATGTCAGAATAATTTTCATACAAATATTTTAACATCGAATGAAGCATTCGCAATATACACTTTGAGATCTCTAGAATCTATCAACTTAATATAATTATTAGGTTGATAGATTCTAGGTTGATATATCAACCTAATTATTAGGTTG